AAATGTCCCCCAAAAAATTTTAAATTTTTCTAAAAAAATAGAAAAATTTCATTTTAATCCGATTTCATTTTAATCTGCCACATTTAATACTGTATTTATCTAATATACTTTATTCCAACTTGTAATACTATATACGTATACTTACAGTATATAGTTAATACAATTAAATTAAAAATTTTATTATTTTTTTAATAAAGTTATTTATTATTTTAATATTTAGTAAAGATAGATTATATTCTTTCAATAAATAAAAAATTTTATAAAGTTTGTTATTATTTGCGTGAAAATGAGAAGTTTAGTTTGTATATAAAAAAAAAATCAAATTCTTATAGGTCGAAGCCCAAAATATTAATAAATTTTTTTTTAAATTATTTATTGAATTCTAGATAAACGAGTTTAACACCATTTAATTTGTCTTGATAAGGCGAATTAAATGGGGTCTTTGCCTTGAAAATCACCCTCCGACATTTCCGATCGGGCTAATTCGGACAAAATCAAACCCGTATATTAGTTCATGTTTATATGTAAATCCCCCTTTGTATTTATTGATTCAATAGTTTATCGAATAAACTATTGAATTAATAAAGGCAAAGGAGGTTTACATATAAACATGAACTAATACGCGGGTTTGATTTCGTCCGAATTAGCCCGATCGGAAATGTCGGAAGGTGATTTTCAAGGCAAAGACCCAAAATGGTATTACGTAAAATAATTAGATTTTGGTTACTACATTTCGAGGTATTAGCAAAAAATTTGGTGCGCCAAATTACCTACCCGTGCCATAATACCCGACTCTCCCTTATATATATAAAAATGAACCATACGTATAAGTTGTATATAATTATAAATAATCAAATATTTTTAGCAAAAAGGTGTTATAAGTTTAACAAATTTTAATAAGACACGAAATAATGAAACCTATTAAAATGTAACATATGGCGTGATATTTGTGTCAATTAGCGATAGAAAAAGGTGACACTAATCTCAATTAGGAATGCCCCACTCTTGGGGGTGGGTAAAAATTTTTTTTCGAGGCTGAGAGCTCAAAATACCATGTATAGAAGTAGTATAGAAGAGAAAGCTGCTTGGGCGTCAATAATCTAGGAATAAAACGCGTCCAAAAATGCTTGCTGCAAATATTATTAACGTTGCAGCACATGACATGAACAAAAAAAAAGGCATAATCGAACTTGACGGTCTTCATTATGACCATAAATGGTTACCAAATGTGACAGACCTTCCCATTCACAACAGGAAATATAAGTATCCAAGGATAAATAAAACTATGGAGTCAAATCATTAACTAATCATATAATAATAATTGAAGAAACTCAGGTCGCCGAGAAAGAAAATGATAATATATATATATATATGTATATATATTTGCAGGACGAGAAAGTAGACATTAGAATGAAAGAGAAACACAAAAACACAAGCGAGAGCACATTAATGATTATAAAAAACAAGTATACATAACGGTAAAAATTTTCAATTTAATAAATTCAGTTTAATATTTTCAGGTGAATATCATACGTATATTGCATCAAAGCTTGTGTTTTCAAAGCAGAAGGAATCCAAACGAACATCATATGCTTTTAAAAGGAATAGAAGATGTGAGAGAACGTTTTAACAAGGTTTTTATAGGAAATTGATCGACAGAAGCAAAAAAAATAATTTTGATAACACAATAACGATAGTTGAATATTATGCATTTAAGTCAACCATTTAAATCAACTATTTTACCCGAAATTTAGAATTCCAATTTGTCATACTACCATTTTCGAACGCTATAATTACAAATCCTCCATTGAGTGAAAAGATCTAATCTTATCAAAAACATCAGAGTTTTGAATTTGCAGGCTGACTCATTTTATTTACGCCACCAAATAACAAAGCATTTATCCATTATTAATTAATTGGTTGCTACGTACCACCATTAATTTATATACATTTTTGGTAAATTTAAATTTAGTAAGAAAAAGTTGCATTATATTGTATATACACGAAAGTATGTGCATACCTTTTTGGTAAGTGATGTAACCGAATCATATCAAAATCATCTAATCTTATCTTACAAGTTGATAACACGTTTTAGCTTACTTCATAATTAAAGACAGTCGCGTAACAATCACGTCACAAATTCGCATATAAACACAGCACACGCAGCCGAAAGATTACGAATAAACAAATTAGAGAAAGGACAGACGTCATACTATTGTACGATTGGTAAAAAAACATATTAGGGGTATAGGGTAAAGCCCGAAACAAAATATTTTTAGAATACAATTAAAAATGAGATTGTTAAAGATATTGTTGTTCAAAAAAAAAAAAAAAACGCCCAGTTCCCCGCAAAATATTTTCCTTTCTTTGACTTTTATGATCTTTTTAGATGGTTGTAAAAATGATCTACCAAATAAATTTGAATAGTATACGATACATGACATAATATCTGCAAGTTCATAAACTAAAATCAAATATTCAGCATATATGCTGTCATTTTATTCATTCTTCCATTGTATCTGTTCATTGTTTTATTTTCTTTTCCTAACTTACATCGTACCACTTAAAGATCGTATTTGCCCTTTTTCAGGGGTGAATTACGTAGTATTCTATTAAAATTATCCGGGTTTATGGCATGATTGTGTTATATTATATGCGCATTGGGCAATCAAAAAGAACAAACCACGATTAATTGCATATTAGACATATATTCAACTTCTAGGCGTCGGACCGAAGGTATCACAAGAGTCAATATCTCTAAAAATGTAATTTAAATAATTAGAAAATAATTAGAATGTATATAATATAGAAACATGGCATTCTATTAACTTAGCCAATAGGGTGTGTGAGAAATAATAGTATTCCCCACAACACCTGAACCAACTATTTTGTTTTCGGACTTTTTTTTTTTTTTTTTTTTTTTTATACACATATTTTGCACATATTATACTTTATTTACTGTAAATTAATGCAAAGATACTGTAAAAAAATACTATCTTACATTTAATTAATAACTGATAACCGAATCAATAACAAATAAATCTGATAATTATTTATGTGATTTAAAATACTACCTTATTTACAATATGCACATTACTCCCTTTTCGCTTCCAATGATGTTTATATATCTTTTTTCGGCGTAGCACCAGATTAAAAAAAAAATTTTTGATCCCTATATGATCCCTCGCTTCACTTCTTACTCTCATTCTTTCTTTTTTTCTTTTTGCGGCCTCCCCTTCTCTTATCTTTAATATTGGTTTTTTTTCACGTTATATCTTTTATTTAATTCATATCAATTTATCATATTCCTAATTAAACAAATTAAAGACGAAAAATAAATAAAATTTCAATTACTAATCTTCGCAAGAAAAACCAATCTTTATACATCTTTATACTCGAAATTTATCATCAACATCTACTTTGAACGAAATTCACATTTATTTTTTATCAATATATCTCGTGTTTTGACCCTCTAAATCTTTCTTGTGATCAAAATAACGTGCTATATCATATTATTTAATTCTTTATTTTTCAAAAAATAAAAAAATGGACACCGCTCTTTTGACCGGGCTCAGGGACCTAACCATAAATCCAGCATATACCGTTTTGTGTACTTCAGGTAAATTACTTTATCCTCTTTTTTTTTTTTTTTTCTTTCTTTTCCTATCTCTTTAGAATCATATAAGATCATATAAGATCAGTTTTACGGTTTCGGTTTAGGCTAAAAGCCTATTGTAGATCCTTAGGATAACTGAATATGTTCGTTCATCGTTTTTTTTTTTTTTTGTCTACCATTACGTAAATTATTATCCCATTAAGCGTTAGTACAAAGTTACGACATTGTTGTACACATGTTACCTTTTTATCTTATCTTTTTTTTTAGTTACGCCATATGCTTAATCTGACTTTGTTTGTTTATAAAAATACTCAGTCCGCAATTTCATTGTCTTTATTTGGGAAAAACTTGGCAACACCAAATGTCAATCTGTCAATATTTGAACTAATTATTTCTTTATCTTTTTTTAATTATAGATAATAAATCTATACAATCACGACACACATTCTTTCCGTCATTACCAACTCCACCGAATGAATATGCAATGGATGAAGATCAAGATTTTATAACAGATGGTGACTCTTCTTGTGAAGCTTTCGCTTACAATCATGATAACTCAATTGAAGGGGAGGATGATTATGACGAAGCTGACGAGTCGTATATTTCATCCAATTTCGATACTACCATAAATGATCCCGAATTTGCGAATTTTTCAAATGAACTTTCTCAGGAATCTGGGAATGTTACCAGTTTTCAAAAAATTTATTATTTTAATACCTGTTCTTATGAGGTATATAGTTTATTATTATTATTTTTTTTATTATTATTATTATTATTATTTTGTTTTGTTTGATTTTTTTCAATTTTATTTATAATTTTTATTTTTAAAATATTAGGTGCCACATTATGGAAACCACATGCAACCAGCTTTACGAAACATTGCTCTCATCGTTGAATCTTGGCTCACTGAAAAACTGCTATATCGATATGCTGGCGATGCTATTCCCATTTTGGAAGAATCTCCTCAAATTTCAGCTGAAAGTGTAATGACAAAGCTAAAAATGGGTACGCCTTTATTATATTAAAAATTTTTTACTTTAAATATTGCTTAAAGAACATGTTAATAAGATATATTTGTTTTAAAAATAGCTTTAGGTGCATTCAATAATCTATCAAAAGTATATATAAAAATCAGAGCCGGCCACGTTTATTCACTTCATATGATAAATGACGAAATCGTCATTTCTCCAAATCATAAGCAATTTATTCAAGAGGTAGGATTCATTTTTATTATTCAATATATATTTAATATCTTAAATACATAATAATATGTATAAAACCACAGTGTATATAGCAAATAGAAATGATCCGAAAAAAAATTCGAAATTTGCATAATTTTCCTGCATAAATAATTTCATGTTAGAATATGAAAAGATTTTAAATAAATTCAACTATTCATCAAACTAACTCGAGTCCACTTTGTGCATTCTAAAGTTTCCCCTCTTCGTAAATGTCTCGATTAAAGTGCAAAAACGATCAGCCGCAGCACGAAACACTATGTGTCGAGTGCTGGTAGGCGTTGAGCACGTGACAATGCAAGGTCAATCGATGGCTGGTGAAATTAAAGCTCCAATTTCACATCATCAATTAACCAATGGTAATACGACAATTAGACGAACTGTCTCCTCTGCTGATGGTCAAGCATTTTATCTATTGGATGAAGCACCAACTACCTTATATTTTATGGGGAATGATAATGCACGTTTTTATAGTGGCGCGAGTTACGCAGGAGAAATCATCGTTCGACCCTAATTCGAAAACGTGTTAAAAGAGAATGCATCGTGGTACTTACAGTAATTTTTTCTAAACTTAAAAATTTCACACTTCTATCGATTTATTTTTATAAATTAAACCTATTTTTTTTAATTTCTTGCGTGCTTGTGTTTTATTTTCGATTGTAAAAATTTTCGTTATATTATACGTTCTCTCTCTCTCTTTTTTTTTTTTTTTTTTTTTTTTTTGTTTGTTTGTTTGTTTCTTTTCACCTCCTTTATTTACTTTCTCTTATTTCATAATTCGGAGGGATGGAATTCTTTGTTGGAATGGTTGGAATCGATGGTAAAGGAATGCCTAAGAACAATTAACTATTTCGAACAAAAAAACAAATTAAGACTTTTTTATCCCAAAATTTTACGACAGACAAAAAAAAAAAAATATTGAAGTAACAAACAAGACAAACTAGTGAAAATTTGAAAACGAAAATACCGGAAGTAAGATTTACAGTTAGAGTATGTATGAATCACATACGGTGGAAAACGAAAAGGAAGGATGAACAAGAGAAAAAATATATATGAAACCGATGATAAGAATGGGAGTGTTTTACGCTCCACTTTCATCGGTGGTATAGCATAAGGTCATTTCATTTTTAAGATCCATATTTATAAGGATTCCGGTAATTTTTTTATATATGTATTCACTTTATTTATTTTTTAAGCATTTAAAAAAAAAAAGTAAGAATCACAAGAAAAAGATATAGTGTATATCAATAAATGTATATTGTTTTATGTAATATAAAATTGAATGTTATTATGTTAAAAAAAGTTATTATTCCTCCTCGTGTAATATCGAGATGATTAGCTTGCGTCAAAATCATTTTAATCTGCTCCGATATCACGAGATCAAAAGATTGTCAAAGACAATATCAAGTTATACATTATGTTATATATCTACATTTTGCACACATATGAAAACAATGCCAAAGTCATTTACGCGATTTGGCAAAAATTAACCTGATCGACAAATATTCCTTCCTTCATAATACCTTTGGCTCTCACGCGACTTCATTATAGATTACTCATCATTTTTAATCGGAGCAATATCGATATTTGACAGAAAGCTTGCGTAGATTTAGAATCAAAAAATAGCTAAGATCTCCATTATATGTTTCATAGTGTTTTCATAGTAAATCATAAAGTAGTTCTGTAATTTTTTTTTTTCAATGTAATCTTTATCTTAGAAAGCTTGCTGATTAAAGAAAGAAACAAACAAATTTCCTCCCCGTTTAATAAAATTATGGATAAGTTTTAATCCGTAATATATGACAGGATATGAACTTATCAATATTAAAGATAATTATACGAAATGATCAGCTTGTATCTTATCGAGTAAAATATCTAAAAATATTTAATTTGCAGTATTCACTTGAAACTTTGTTCGAAGATCTACATTTGAATATATCACGTCAATTATAAAAATCACAAAGATTCTACAAAAACAAAGAAATAAACTGTCAAATAACATTACACTATGATTTATTTGATTTCTATAGAAAGGAATTTGCATTTTTTCATATATTACAGAAAGTACCAATACCATTTATAGACTATTAATATATTTTCAGGGGTACATGAACTCAAACTTTAACCGAAGGCGTATTTACTAAGTGTTCCTATGCAAATATTGTCGTACTGCACGAGGACGTCCCCAGGTTAACATCTGAATTTCAATATTCCCACGAAGATTGCTTGAACCCTCTGTAGTTCTCACGTTATAAGTCCGAGATCATCCTAAAAGGTGGGACTTTAGTGGATATTATGAAGACATTATTAATTAAGCAAAAAAATCAACATTACCAGAATTTTGACGTTCAAAGAAGGAATTGCTTAAATTTGAAATTATATCACCATTAGTGAGCATAGAAAGGGTTGCTCAAAAGTGCAGAAGTGTACGTTCGGTTTTACCGCCGATATTTCAGTATTTGTGGAGCATAAACTGGTTCGAACTGGTTTAACCAATATAATATAAAATTAAATATAGTATATTAATAAAACTATATATCGAGTGATACAAAAAAAAGCAGCCAATCAGAATGAAATGCCAACATCTTAGCACGAAACGTGCCGGCAAAATTCCAACCAATTTGATACGTATTGTAAAAATTACTGCAGTCCGTGCGCGCCCCAATCCCAAAATCGTACGTATTCCCAAAGATTTTACAGAATAATAATTCTTTCTAACAAATATCGGTAATATACAACAGTATATCCTTACAGTTATGCATATATAGTATAATATATAATTGCAAAATTTCAATTTTTTTTGGGATTCGTCCGGGTTTTGCCGGCAAGTATATTTGTATCACTAATTTAGCATAAGTACTACGCACATAGATATTTTGAATCAATAGATTAGATAAAAAATTTTACGTATTTCACGTATGGCCTCAAAAATTTTAAAATTTTCCGGGCATAATTATTTTAGACAAAGATTGGTTCTCGCTACATTAAGTGGGAAAACTGTTAAAATTAATAAAATTCGTTCAGACGATAATGATCCTGGAATAAAAGGTGTTTTTTTTTTTTTTTTTTTTTTTAAAGAAAAATATACATATATATATAGTGTATATATGTGTATATATAACAAATTATTCTATTAATAATCTTGTAAAATTGAAATCCAGATTTTGAAGCAAATTTTTTAAGATTATTAGATAAAGTTACAAATGGATCAATTATTGAGATCAATTATACAGGTTGGATTATGTAGAAG